ATTGCTCAGTCACTTCTAAAACTGAGCTTTCATAAGGTCCTCTTTATCCATTGGTCTCAAAGCTCTTTCCAAAGGTGAGTAGGTATCTGCTATCTCTGCTTTATAGATAAGAAGTTCCAGCACAGATTGTGACTTGCTAAAGACTTTGTGAATTCATCCTTTGCACTATCTGCTAGGCTATGCTAATATTGCGCCATCTGACCCATGACAGTCCTGGGACATGGTCTACAGTGGAGATAGTGTACAACTGTTATTCCAGGTCAATTTTTCCACGGTCTACAGTGGAGATAGTGTACAACTGTTGTTCCAGGTCAATTTTTCCACACTAAGTTTGTTTCTATGGGCATTCCTAATGTGGAGTAAGGTAAGCAACCATGTTCTCTTAAAAGGGGGAAGACTTGCTGTGGTTCATCTCCATCTGTTTTTACCTGTTTTGTCTATCCATTCTTATCCCATGGCAAGTGGAAGTTAAATTGGGGCAGCTTAACTGATAATGAAATAGTGTTAAATTACCTTGCCGTAAGAGCAGATGGATGAAACGGGTAAAATGAATCGGGTGACAAACTTGCAAGTGGTTAGGCCCTTTCCCTCCCTTCCAGGTTGTAATGGTTTCTTTCTATGCCCTAAGAATGTAGGAAAACCTACTCCACATTTCTGATTTTACATCTAACTTATTTTGCAGCACAAGGGCCAACAGCCTAATTTAGCTAGTAAAAATAATGAAATTGCTCATCACTAGTCTGTTCAGCTATGGGACAGGGCTTGAAGTCACCTCATAATGTAGACAGAACATTGTTGTCTTAGTAGGACTACAGTCATAAACACCTGGAAAAATCTATCTCCAAAACATTGTATACTGAGCTGCTCCCATGATTAAGTTCATATGGAACTTTAATTTTCCGTATTGCTGTTACCACAGTTGTTCTCCAGTTTCCATTTGGCCACTGGTCAGCATTACTTAGTTTTCTTTTGCCTGTAATATATCTGCTTTGGTATCTATCTGTTCTTGTTTCAACCACAGCTTATATGAAGCATTTTTTATGTCTTATGCTGCTGTAGCCAAACTTCTATTGACATTTTTAATTTTCCCAGAATTGATCCTTTTCCTGTTTTAAAGGTGTTGGCTTTAACCGTATGTTTTTTAACTTGCAAAAGTTTTATCTATTTTTTAATGTGACTGGAACTATTTGGTACCAGACAATCACTGGGTCAATATCCTGTGTCTCTACTTGTACAGCAACCTTCCTAAATAAAGTATAGTAGTATATAAAATGCTGATTTTGTATTTTTGTTTATCCATGAAAGTCCAAGGAAATAAAACTAAGACTTAATCATTTTTGTTTGATATTGTGACACTTAATTTCTCTAGGAGGCAACTTGTTTTGAACACGCTGCAAAATAGCACCGGCATGATTGGCAAAGAGGAATTTCAGAACTGAAAATACCACAGAAACACCAGTATTGAAATAGTTTTGAGGCTACCGATACAGAAGGTTTGAACTGACTTAAACTTGGCTGAGTTGTGAGCTGATTTTTAGGCAGTAAGGTTCAGAAGGAAATGGACCTAAAGAAATGCACCTCTGTTGCAGGTGGCCCATTATAATGGCCATGGCAGAGAAGGAACCATCTTGAGAACAAAAGGCCATGTGGTTAAAGTCACCTGAGGCTTAGAGATGATATTAGTTCACAGATGTCAAATACCTCCACTCCTAGATACCTTAGTTCTGTAATTTGGTTATTCACTCGTTGTTTTGATAAAGTTACATGGAAGTAACTACTAGAACTGGTGGATACCAATTGCCTTGATGTCACATGGAAATGACCTCCTTTGTGCCTGACCCATATCTTATGACTTGAATTCAGACAAAAAGACTAGTCTTTTACCTGCTGCCCTATGCTACTTTTATTATGGTTCCAGGAACTGTTTTTAATCTTCCTGGTTCAGTAGCAAATTGAAATATTTTAGTTTGGATTGAATGGAATTTAAATAGGTTTCTTCCTCCTCTCCCACACAGCAAAACAGATGATGACACTTCTTGTGCTTTTGTTTGGTGTCAAAACACTTAAATCTCTATCACTACTGAATTAACAAGGGGCTTGACTGACAACTGGTGGTAGCGTCATTCATCTCTATCCAGTAGTTTGGCAAGTGGAGCACACTGGGAGACCTGGATTTAATTCTGTCTTCTGCCTGAGGAAATATGAACCTATATCTCCCAGGAAAATATCCTAACCACCAGCCTGTTGGGTACTCCAGGGTATGATGTCTGCTGTTGGCACTGTTCCACTACACTAACATCCAATTAACAGTCACTGGACAGGGATTGGAAACTGTGTAGAGCTCTTCTTCAGTTGAATGTCCTAACTACCCAGGCAGAGAATCATGGGTATCTCAATGACTGTCTGGAACAAAGCAGAACAGTTTTGAGAGCCTGAAGGAGGATCTCCTCCAGAATACCTTTATAGACTGGTAATTAGGACACTCACTTGAGAGAGGGGAAATAGAAGTCCGTTTTTTTTTATGCCCGAATCAAACTCCCACCTTTATGGGACATGGACAGCCCTTACCTACCCCAGAATATTTCATTGCTTGGTGTTTTTTTTTTTTTGTTTTTTTTTTAACTTATCCCCTTGGCATGGTAGGGAACAGAAATGAGGTAACCCATATCCTAGGTGAATGCTGTAATCACTCATAAGGTGGAGGTGATGCCCCTTCACTTTAGGGGACTAGATTCACTAAAGTCTTCTCAGTTGAAACTATTTAGCAAGCCTGAGTTTAATTCACAAATAGTTTCGGAAAAATGTATTCCCCTTCCCCTCCATTTCTCTCCCCTCCCCCCTCCTCCCCGCCCCCAGTGAACATACTATTGGCTAATAAAATGTTTTGCTGAACTCTACCCATGTCTCTAGTCAAAGAACTTGTGACATCTGTAAGGGTGCCAAATGGTGACTTCCAACAGCATTATAAGGATTACTGGAGTTTTAACCTCAGTGGTTGTTCGTAAAGCATCTGGATTGCCATGTTTTAGTTGGACAAACTGTTCAGGCACAGAATAACCTTTGGCCAGGACATCTTGTAGACTTGGAGTGCCAGTGTCACTTGATTGGGGTTTTTTTTTTTATGAGCCAGAAATGGCTATACCACGCTTTCTTTGGAAGTGTTCCTGGCAAGTCATTGTTCCTTCGTGAGACCCCAAGTGAAGATCAAGGGCACTCATTAATCTTCTGGTAACTCTTTGAATTGTACAGTGATTTAATATAGACAGGCCAAGTTCCTGCCACCCCAAACCCCTTTTTATATTGTTTAATAGGTCAAGCATTTAAATAGTTTCATGCAGAGATGGATAGAAATCCCAGGAAGGGTTGCTGTCAAGAACTGCAGGTGTGGGAGCAAACTTGGCTCAAAATGCCAGTGCTTGGACTTCTGGGAGTTGTGTGCAGGTTACTGGTTTAAAGTTTTACTTTTCTTGAGATCCTGTTCATCTTGGCTGCTGGTCTCTCCAGTAGCCTTTCCTAAAGCTGCTTTTTCTACATGAAATACAAGACAGTTTTGGTAAAAGACTCGATTGGCGATTATTGGCCATTGCTTTGTTGCAGGTTTAATTTGTACATGGTGTGCCTTTTCGAGGAAGCAGCAAGGATTTTTACCCATCTCTTGGTCCTGTCTGATTTCTACTGTGTGTATTCCCCTGCTGCACTGGGTTTGCTATATCTTTTAAACCTCTTATCTAGGCCTTTTAAATGATTTCTCTGTCTCTCTTTGACACTAAGCTTCAGGAACACTGGGTAGTGCTCCTGTTTGGACCTGCTGATCACTTGTGGCTAATGCACAGTGCTGAGCATGCTGCCCTGGCTAGCAGGGTGGAATACCACCTGGTAGACTGTCCATCTCATTGATCTTCTACCTTCCCTGTGTTCCCTTTGGTAGTACACCAGAATGACTGAGGATTCCTTCCTCTCATGCGCTTCTTAAGATCATGAGCATGAGTCCTTGGAGTCTAACCCTTCTCTTTCAGTGTCTCCCTTAGCAGCCATCTCCTTTTGGGACCACCTGTGTGTGGAAAAATATAAGAAAGCAGCAGCCTTCTGAAACTGAGAAAATGGTTTTAGAAAAAGTAGTAGTTTTTATTTGGGTGGTTCAGTGGTAGAATCCTTGTCTGCCACACAGGAGATCTGGGTTCAATTCCCTGACACCTATACAGCTACAGCCACGGGGCCACTAAACATCTGGACTCAGTCTGGTCTTTAGATTCTGTCTTACTGGCCTAAAGGGGGCATGACGGTCTAGGCAGCTTTCACTCCTCCAAAATGCCTGCCCAGGCATATGCATCAAACTTCTGGGTGACTCCCGTGCATACACCGTGATCCAGGCGGATCAATGGTTGCCACCATATATAATTTTCATTTGACTTTCCAAAGCCCAGTGATGGAGGCTTCTTTACACCTAGTCACGCCTAGAGGGAAAACAACAATAAAAATTTATATATCTAGAAATAACCTTCCCTCTTTGCTCGGTCAGCCTCCAAGTCT